CAATGAGTCAGCCTATTTATTTTTGTGAATTATTCATTAATTTAGTGCAGTTCTGAACATAAGCGTGTTATTTGTTGTTGCTTTAATTTTAGCTGTCTAAATACTATTTAGCGATTGTGAATTTATACGTAGTATTTAAATTATGACATTTAATTAGTGTACTTTCAAACACCAGCTGGTCAACTGGCGTGATTTATGGAATCAACGAATAATTCTATAAAACCATGTCATCATTTTTATACTGGAACTTGACTGCGACCATAGAATTATTTAGCTATTTAATTAAAACATGGAAACTTCGTCAAACGAAAGTGTATAATATTAGGGGTAAAATGAATCTGAATGAAGTTCTTAAACCATTTTCACTTTGATATGACTAAGCTAATTTAATAATAATCATATCTGTAAGATATAATTAGAATGAGCTTGTTCAACGTATCAGAATATTCACCGTTCTGTACTTTTTTAAGTTGGTAGTTTTGGCGACTAGTGATTGTCAGCTTCAACAGCATCTAAATTTTCCTATCGTAATAATTTTTACTTGTTCAGAAAGGTTTTTGATTAACTTGTTTGGCACGAAGTTGTGTTTTTACGATTGCAATATTCGATTAAAAATTTCTCAGAAAGTGGAGATTTCTTCTAAAAGATAGATATGGCCAATTAACAAGTAATCGGCAACTGCATATAAATCCAATGCTTTCCTAACGTTAGATTTCAGTTGGCTAATATCAAATATAGTGTAACACAATGTCTTGTGACTTAATTTGTTGATCAGGTACAAAGTACTTATCTTATTGTATTTCATTTAGAACTAAAAAGTAGAAAGTGATAATGCATTGATATAAGAACGTGCTAAAAATCATAACTTATTAATAGTAGACATTAGTTTGTGAGAAATGCCTCTAAACAATTCACTTAAGCTACTTAAAAGTGACCTAAAACTGATTGATGACATATTTACACTCGTATCTTTTAAAAATTTTATTGTTAAACACCACGGATACTAAGATATGTAAAATCATCGACCATAAAATATGTCAGCATTTGCCCATGGTGGTAATATGATTTGAGTATACAGACAGGTTAGTAGATATTTCTCATTAGCAACTTTGTTTCAGTCAATAACCTATAGCATGTTTAAGTATAATACTAGTAAAAAACTTTACCAATAACGAAATCCTCTATTCTTTATCAGCATCAACTTTAAAAGTCCACAGTATATAGCTCCTAGTGTACTCGATCAATATTTCAGAGATCGTGATTAATTATCTAAAGTAAATCTTATCAAATGTTGAGAAACCTAAAATAGATCCAAAACTTCTAAGTAAATTAATCAAATCCAACTTTGGCGAAACTACATCGAATTAAATGTACAGATCTGAGGTATGATATTTGAGCAAAGTTTATTTGTCAAATGTGGTAGTTTTCAATATCTTAAGTGTTCCAACCATTAACATTGCATATACTGTATTTCAAATCACATGCTTCAGTGTTTTCAAATGATGTTTCAAGTTATTATATTCATTTGAATTGTATATCTCATAATCATTAACGTAGTCTTTTAACGAGCTAAACATATACACAAAGTTTGCAAACACGTCAGCATACGACACTTATCTTTTAAAACTGAAGAAATGTACACTATTCAATATTAAGTCGTTTACTTATTTGCAATAAGTACTTAGAAGTGAGTAAATTAATTGTTGCTTGCTTAATAGTTTGGGTATTCTAGAAAAATATTGATAATCTTTCTTTACAATAACAAGGTTCAGTGTTTTAGTTTATGCTTTCAGTCTGTATTAATTAAAATATATAAAGCTATGATATTAAACCTCATTTCTAATCTACAAGCTTTCTAGGAAGCAATTCTACATTGTTTGAAAAAAGGCCGCTGGTTACTTTTATCAATAACCTATAGCATGTTTAAGTATAATACTAGTAAAAAACTTTACCAATAACAAAATCCTGTATTCCTTATCAGCGTCCGTCCATACGGATCTAACTTCAATCTTCCTTCTAATAGGGTTTCTAGTCCCCTGTTCTTTTTACAAACATTTTAATTAATAAAAAAAGTTGCCTAGCTATGTGGCATTTTTGCAACATTTCTTTTCATGTATCTCCATATTTGGTCGCCCAAACGTTCTTAGGGTTTCAGTTCCTTATACTGATGTAATAGTCAATTAAATGCTTTACTACTGTGCAGCTATTACATTTCCTGTCTCACAACACGTTCAGTTACTTTTCCTCTGTATCCTAATATTTTTAATCTATGTTTAGATAAATAATGTCTGGCAAAAACAGTCATATGATTAGTGAGAGCGATGTAAGGAGTGAACCGTCGGTTTCAACTTGCCTACCGGATAGGAAGACTTCAGTGAGTTGAGATGAATTCTATTCAGAAGTTTTATTTAATAACTTTTTCATGTTATAACGGAATGAATATTGTAGAGGTCGAAATTGTCCTTTCAAATTATCGTTATTCATAGTTTTACATAATTACTGGGTATCTAGATTACTATATATGATTTCTTTTCGTTAAACCCATTAAATATTTTTATACGACTTTGCCAACCTAATTTATTGCTAGCCTATTATTTAGTTTCCCCTAATCATAGCCACTCTCTGCTTGTTTATGTGTATGTGAATTCTTTGGACAACTTTGAAAAACACCCATCAGATACCGAAATATATTTTATTACTTTCTTTTTTGCTGCTGTGCTTCAAGATTAATGAAATTTTGTTTAGATTGCCTTATTTAATGATCTAGAGTGTAGCAAAAATTGTTCCCCACACTATACGAAGACATTTTAGCGTAAGACTACTAAATGTAACCGTTGAACTATTCCAGGAGCAACTAGCCGAAAGAAAGTTAGTTACTCTTTTTTTCTTGGTAATCGAGAATAATTCAACTATAGCACGATTATATGTTTTTTTACTGAAAGATATTTGCATTGTTTATGAAATTTACCTTACCTTTAGTAGGAACTCTGGTTGATGAATTAAGATAGTCGTCTTCGTAACTTCTGACATTATTCTGTGAATATACATGAAAGGACTGTATTCCATATCAGTAGTTTGTACAGAAATTTTCCGGTTAGTCTGATTGACACTGTGGCTCTTTTATCAACAATCTTTTTTACATAACCTATTTTCTCTCAAGTTTTAAGTACTGAAGAAATAGAACAGTGAGCAAATCGAATTTCCTACCTGTTTTATTATTCAGATTCCTTTTATGCTATTCACATTTCTAAATCAATTTCATTTTTTCCTATACTGATTGACTGATTACATACTTATATCCGTGAATGAATTTTTCAACCAGTCTACGGTAACATTGATCATATTTCTAAATAATTCTACATCAATCAACAAACTTTCACTTAAGCTTATCATGCGTCGCAAGATAAACTATTTCACAAATAAGTTGGATATAATTTCTCATCATCACTCCTAATATAATTCATAGAACAGTGAAGTAGTGAACTGATAATAATTTTTTCATTTTCTTATTAAAATTAAATGCAAGAAATCTGTTTTCACAGTTGAGCCTATACTTTCGTCCTTACTTATTCAACATTCTTCAAAAATTTTACCATAAATGCCTTTTAGATAACTGCATAGTTTTTGTGAAACACGTGAAAACGAATGGGAAATTCCTTCGCATCTAAATAGTTCCTTTAGTATTTACGTCATCTTACATTTACAGTGGTGAAATACAATCGTCTTAACAAATGTTTTTAGTTGCACACGAAGTAGTATGCTGAGAACATTTTAAATTGAAACTGAAAAACAATTATTACACATTTTTGAATTGACCAATAGAAAAATAAACGTAGATGACAAGATTGTTCATCACGTAAAAGTGATAGACCTCCACAATACAGGTAAATAACGTTAGAATATGAAGTTCACTATTTCACTGTTAGTCTAGTGTACCAAATAAACCTCAGTTCCCAGAAATATCGAAGTTTTTAAAATATCCCTCTGAATAATTAATACCTGAAATTTCATTCTTTTCTATCATAGCTAACTTTGAATACAATAATTCATAAATTTGGCTGAATTTACTTTAGAAAATATGTATTATGTGGATAGACATTTGATCGATAGCTCTGGAAAATTGAAAGCACTCTTTATAGATCTCATTATGCATAAACCTACAGGGAGATATTACGGAATAATTATATGCTTCCCATTACACATGATGTCAATAAAGCTCAACAATCACCACAACTCTATGCTGATATTCATTGTTATTATTTTCATTATTATTGTCAGTATTATTTCTCGTCTTCCAAATTAATGACGGTTGTAAGTGACACTCAACACACCACTGTTTCTTGCATAGTGCTCACCATTCTAGACACACAGTCAGTTGAATATTTGATCTGTTTTGTAATTACATTACTACTTCTTTCAATCCATGTTATCTGTATTTATTCTGATGATCAATGTCACAACCTCTATTGACTTGTGAATACATCCGTTTTGACAGGAAACATTGACCATAACTTTGTTAACAAGTTCATTTTGATAAAATTCCTAAACAAATACATTGTTTTTTCTAAAAGGTTTACTCTACTTCGAAGTAGCAATATTTTTGGAAACATAACTCGAATTTATAACTGTAGAGTTTCAATGAGAATTTATCGACTCTGTTCAGTACACGTGTTCAGAACGTAGTTAATGTCCAGAATGTCAAATATATTTTGTCATAAGTAAATGAAAATAATTATGTTGTGAGGTTTGGTTGTTCTAAAGTCATAATTTCATAAGTATACTCGTTCATTCAGTTGTCAAAATCTTGACCCATCTTTTTGTTTTCATAGAATCATCGCCAATCCAATTGGTGTAGAAAACTTACCAATCAAATTATAACTGAATAAATTTGATTTGTTAGAATACATCTGTCAAACCTATTAATTGTATGTGATTGGTTGAAGGGAATTTTGTAAAATGAAGTGTGAATATAAAACATTCCGTCTACAAAATCGTATTTTACCACGTGAAAATAAGCACATTTTGCCGTGATTGACTTCTTAGGTTTGAACAGTGGAAAATTATCAAATCTATGATTTTCCTACGAAATTCTGTCTGACAGTTTATAAATATTGTACATCTTGAGCATACTTCATGTATCCATCCCACAACAATAGTTGTAATTGTACGAATCCTATAAATAATGTCTCAACAAGTTCATCCTCTCACCGAAATGGCTGCGGTACACAATCATCGCCAAAAGTTATACCTCGTAATCAACAGAATGTAGCTTCCACACAAGTATATCAGCAAAATAATTGGGATTCAAATAAATCTGCTTCTACTGCGCTACCAACTTCCTATATACGGAGATTATATAAATTGGGTTCCATAAAAAATAATGATGAAATGAGCATGTTGAATAGCATCAATACACAGGATTGTAACGACATTCAAATCAGTAATAAAAATGAACTAAATTTTCAAACTCCGAAAACCAAGAAGTTCGATGAAGTCTACCTTTCAGTTAATCGCAGAACACAACCGGGTATTTCGGCAGCAATTAAATTATTGTCACAAAATCTGAAGCCGAAAATAAATCCTAATAACGAAGTTATTGATGATTCTAATAGTAATAGCATTACTACCAATATTGTTACTACTAATACGAATACTAAGGGAAATAATCAGAATAAATTTTTCACTAATGGCAAAAATGACAATTTATCCACTATGCTTCCTCATTCAAGCGGAGGTGAATACTTTTCTTGGAAGAATAAACGATACAGTTATACTCCTACTTCTTTCACTAACCACAACTTTGGTAATAATATCTGTAACAATTATAATAACATTTCAACATCAATACAAACTATAAACAATGAAGACACTGATAAATTAGCAAACAATCCGCCTGGGAAAATGATGAAGGGTGATTCATCCACGTTGATGAAACCATCACTGCATAATAACAGTAATAATGAGATATATTTGGCGAACAGTAATTCACCTTGTACAACTAATTTCAATGACAATAAAAATAATATGTATTCACCTTTATGTACACGAAAGAGTAATTACGATACATTATTTAAACGTAGTTCCTCCACATCTCCATATCGACCATTACTAAATTATCGTCCATCATGGTTACTGTCATCCAATAATAAAATGTTATCTAATGAAACACTTTACAACAGTGATGATTATCACAATGAATATATAACATGTAAACCAAAATATTTAGATTCGAAAATTTCGAATAATAATATAAGTAATAAATATCGTCCATCAGATTATGGAACAGCAACTGGAACACAAACACCAATGATCGCAGTAACTTCGCAAAATTTACAGGGTTCACTAACGACATTATCGTCATCGGGTGGCATCGGAAGTAATAATGCGACTAGATATTTGAATAAAAATGACCATTTTTCACCTAGACCAATTAATGCTAAACCTTCATTCCATTCAAGACAGAATATTGATGATGTAAACATGGAACAAAATGATGAGGAACATCATAAATATGGTAGAACATATTATATTACACGTCGACCACAAATTATACAAACAAATTATCAAAGATATTTACCTCATGCAATAAATCATGAACGTATTCTTTCATTCAATAATATTTATGATGCTAGCACCTTGATCGATAACACTGTCACTACTGATCATGATTCCGATTTTACGAACAAAACAATCAGTAAGAAAATAAACAGAATGCCAGATGTTTTGAAACCGAATTCATATCTATCAAATAGCACGTTAGCTTCGTACAAAAGAAATTCATCGTCTTTAAATTCATTACCAAATGAAATCGATTCTTCACCTTCGTTAATTCACTCTGAGTACGTCAATGATGATCACCGCGTTAGCAGTAATAATAGTGATAAAATTGTTGCTAGCCGCAGTATCTTCGACAACTACTCTCCGATTTATTATCCAAATAACCAGACTTTATATACTGCACGGCGTTATTTTCAAGCTGATCAAAGTCAACCATCCCTACAAACAAAATATTCTTATCACCAAGATAATCCAGAATCTTTTCGATCATTCAGTGTTAGTCCAGAAATAGGAAGTAGAATTTCAGAAAGTAAGCCGAAACAAATAACTTGTTATTCTTAAACTATTCTGTTTATGCAAACTGTACCTTTTAAATTTAATTTGGTAAATCATTTATAGTAAATTTGAATATAAATATTGTCACACATCAAGATCACGCGTTACCCACCGTTACTCAATGGTCACTATATGGTAAACTTTATAATCCAGTATTCTGAAATATATCCAATGACATCTGACCTCTTAAAAGTTACATGCAGCTACTAAAGGTATCTGATCTTTAGTCATTACACAAAGTTTAAAGAAACAACATTTTTCTGAATTTCGCTTCTAACCTGTACGATATAGCTCACGATTCTAGTAAAATAATAACATAAAAGTATTCCAAAAGCCCTCAAAAAATGTTTACTCCGGATAAACTATACACTTTTCCGAAACGTTCTGTACTCACACATTTCACGAGTACGGCTCATTCTTATTTTACCTAGCAATTCAACTGTTTTTGTGGAGCTAGTTATATTCGAAGCATAAATTAGCAATTCATCCGAAGAATTTCCAAGAATCATTCTGCTTGGCTGATTAAACAACATGTGATGTCCATTAAAAGCTATATACTTATTGATTTATTCTATAGAGGGTATAAGGATGACACAAATGAAGTTTTCGAAGTGATCCGATGTATTTCACTAGATTTATCGCATTTGTTAACGTACATATTCTGTACGTACATCTGCTTGCAGGAGAAATTTGTTTTACTGCTTTCTCCGTCTCCAATATTAACAAAACCAATATTATTTTAAGTTACAAATGACTTATTATTCCAACTTCTCATTGATGGCTAAAATTTCTAAAAACTGTTTCGCCTTCTTACTTTTACATAACTCCAATGTTCTTCTCTTAATTCTAAAATAACTATTATTTACACCCAAATTTCCATCAAAAATTTCTAAATTTTCTTGTAAGATATTTTGTTATCTGCCAAAGCCGTAACTGTCCGTTTCAATTTATTTTTTGAATCTTAATTATGGTGTCCGCCTCATCTTTTAATTGCATTGTCAATCATTCCTTACTGTTTTTGTAATTAGGTACTATTATCTATTTACTGTAGAATCTAACATCAGTCGAGAAAGAAAACAGCTTCATTTCGTGAGTAACGATCTCTTGCTTATCTAAATACGTCTTATCGAAATCAACAGGACTTTATTTATATAGAGTTCAGTTTGCTCTATAATGCTGACTTTTAATGTTTATGGTGTTACCATTAGTTCGTCGTGATGTGTTACTATAGATACAAACAGAAAATGTGAAATGTTTACAACATGTTTCCATCATGATAAATCCAACGTTTTCCTTTTTTATAATATGAATACTAGTATTATTACAATTTTCTAATTTGTTCATATTACACTTAATTTGATTATGCTGATTCGTTAGTTTACTGAGCACGGATTTAGGCATTTTTATGAATTCGTTCTCTATTTATAAATAATGAATTTAAAAATTGCTGTTGAGTTTGCCTATGATTCAATTAACTGTAATTTGTTTCTTATACATAATACAAAAAATAATGTTAATAATTTTCTGGATTTTAGCCTTCTAAACAATGTGTCATTCTAGTTAGCAGACAAAAATATAAAACAGACTAGTGTGATAAACTATTTAAAGAATTTACAGAATTTTTATTACGACTCCAAGCAGTGACACTAATCTAAACACTGATATATTGTACAATATGGATCAAACATATTGAACAATATTTTATGGCTTTGCGTTTTCAGCCTTTAAAGATTGCCATATTAAGATAGCGAGAATACTTAAATCATGTTGTCACACATTAAAAAGTAACCAAGTGAGATTAGTTCTAATTACTAGTTCTAAACATAATGAACACTTTCTAACAATCTTCGTCACTAATTTGCTAGTCAAAGTAAGATCATGAATGCGCAAACGGACATGAAAGTTAGTTACCATGAAATAATTTTTAAACAAATATTTTAGTGTGCATTTGTTATCAAACAAAAAGTAATATTTAAATAAATTTCAAGCTGGAGAAGATAATGGTGTCAAGTTATTTTGAGACTAGTTATAAATGAAATAAGAAAAATTGGTTCCATGAAGAGTTTACTTTCCGGCGAATTCATTTTCAAAGTCGTAGAATCGCAAATATATAATTATTTTTCAGGTTGATAATAATTACAATAATAGTGGTAATAGAATTCTATTAAGCATAGTAGCAGTGAGGTAGAATCCTTTCCCGATTATAGTTTCCCTGTTTATCTTCATGATGAATATAGCAGACCTTAACAACGAAACTATTGTTAGTTTCCCTGATAAAACAATGTTTTGATACTTTTGTTTATTCGGCCTCACTGTTACTATGCTTATTAAATCTCTATTATCACTATTATCGTAATTACTATCAACCTGAAAAATAAGTATATATTTGCGATTGTACAAACTTAAAAATGAATTCGCCGAAAAGCGATCTCTTTGTTAAACTAATCTTTCTTGTTTCATGCCGCATTGCTTACTTAAAAATACCATAGAAATAAATAAACACTTTTTCTTTGAGCCTAACTTTAATTATAATTACTTCATGAAAAATATTTGTGCATCCTTATAAAAATTTTAATGTCAGTTTATTAAACAACCGTCGGCATTTAGAAAATACCGAATAATTGTTTTATTTCAAGCTAAGATTTCATAGAATAATACTATTATATAATAATTTTAATAATTGAAATCATGAGTCAATCGACGCTAGACCACCATGGAAAACCTGGAAGCACAGGATAACCGTTTCGTCCTATTGTGGGTGTCTTCAGCAGTGTGCATCCGCCATCCCGCCTCGTGAGGTTGAAACACAGGATCTACCTCTAGACCACTGAGACGGCCGGTATCCAACGGTGCTAATGTCTCACTTTAACTTATCCATAAGATTCTGTAGAAGTCCAACAATCGGACGAAACGGCCGTTCAGTGCTTTCAGGTTTTCCTTGGTGGTCTAGCTTCAATTGACTCATGATCACAAATATTAAAATTATTATAATATCCACAAAACCCCTACTGATATTATACAATAATTTAGATTAATCTCTCAACCAATGGGAGTCCTGTTGGCAATGTTAATTTTTAGTCCGAGAGAAAACTCTTCATTAGTTGTACTTTGTCGGGGTACTCAATGCAGAATGCAGCGACACTGTAAGTTGACAACAGTGTTTCTCACTCTCGATCACCCACAATTGTCTTTCACACCTATATTACTAGATGTAATGACATTAAAAATCGTTCAAAATCTATTTTGGTGACGTTTTACTCTCTGAGCTAGTTTAGTGATTTAAACTAGACAATTGACTACCTAAAAGCACAGGTTTGTGATTCTATATTTACAAGATTTTAATAGCAAATAACTATATGATATTAATGTTAACATACGTGGTAATACAAAGAGTCAGTTTTGTTAGGGTTGCGCAATTAGAGTATTTTAACTTTTATAAATAAAATGTAATATAAGTACCTACCACTCTGAAATCCTAAAATGAAGAGGTATAACTGCTTAAACTATGCTTAATGTTAACAGCTGTGTGAAATCGTTTGTTTGGTTAAATAGTCAAATAAGCATATTTTGAAATAATAAATAGTGTACTTGATAAATGGATAATCTGATGAACTTTTTGTCAATAATATCTGTCTAAGCTATTTGAATTCATAACATGCAACATTATTAACTTCTATTACACAAAGTAAGCAAACAAATGTTAACTGTCAGTACAATCTTGTTTAGGCTTTTGTAATTCAGTAATATACAAACTTTTAAATTCGGCTATCATAAAATCTTCATTATGCAGATTGTTGATCAAGCCTATGTGCCAATAAGAGTAATTTTATGGAGGATAACTTGGTCAGACAGTTCAGATATAATACCATTGTGATGTAAATCGTAAAAAATTGAAACTCTACTGAATTATTTTGTTTAAAGAAAAATCCGTATTTCAATAGTACTTTTATTATAGCAATGTCAAGTACAAGTAATATTTTAAAGATGGAAGTTTTGTCGTGTCCGTATACATATTCACTTGACCTTTATGTATTTATAAATATTCAATAAAAGTACACATGCGTTGAATCAAGTGTACCTTGCACTTTAATTAAATGCATAAATAATTATTAGGATGTAAATGAATTAACTTATTAGTTTTGCAGAAATCATTATAAAATCATAAAAATAATTGGTATAGGATGTAATAACAGAAAAATATTCTATGTGCGTCCCTTGAGTATGAACTGTTGAGGACAATTATATTATGTCCCATTAACTAAAATTTTCCATTTAATGTTTGTAGCTATAGAAATTTGTTTTCAAGAGATTTGAATAAAATTGATTAGTTTGTTTAAAGTTCTCGTCAGTAACAATTGTCATTTTCGGAGTTATTAATAGGTAGAGAAATAGTAGACATATCCTTTTGTTCTTGTTCGTGACCTTCCAGCTAGACGAAATTGGAATTAAGAATATTATACAACCACTTAAATACAAGAATGATATCAAACAAGGACTGATTTATAGTTAGTGGAAGGTAAATTTTTTCAAATAGAAATAAATCATTTCGATTAATGACGAACAGACAACGTACTGCGACTTGACTTCATATTTGATCGGTATTAAGTTGTAGCTGTCACTCCTGATAAGTTTTTGCCTTTTCATTTTTATTACATGTCAGAGAAAAATTATCCATATATTAACATTTCCAATATGTCTATCAAGTGACTTTCAGCAAATACTGTTCAGTTAAATAGACACACAATTGGTAGGTCAATATTTGAGCTTTTGTTCGAACAACTACAGATATTGTTTTAGCTCCCCACCAACAATGAAGTAACATAACAAATTCGGAAAACCACTAAATTGACAACGTAAATCATGAGTTCGATAATCCTTAAACGTAATTTGATTCCAGTATGTTGTGGTATCGAACTCTCAAATCTTCATAAGTATTCGAGTTTCGACTTTTTAAGGCGAAATTATTTCTTTCTAATGCTCTACTACCCATAGCGTAGAAAATTAATATTGTAATCAATGAGTATATTTATTAATTTGGAGAGTTACATTAATTTTCTTTGAGATTTCAATTACCTTTTAAATTATCGCAAAGCTATTTATATATACAGGACGAGTCTTTCGACAGATATGGTAAAATTAACTTCAAACTACATAGTTTTGTTGGGAAATTCATGGCTAAACTCGAAAATGACTAGGCTTGTTATGACGTACTACACTTCGCATTATATTGGAATTCATGTAATTAAAAAGTGTGATATCAGTAATAAATCTTGCAATTGTTGTCGATTGATATGTATAAGCGGTAGTAATTGTTTAAAGTAACCACCATCACAATATACTTAACCAGGTTGATTAATTTGAAAAATTTAAACTTCATTTTTACATGAACAGAACGGAAAATGTTTTACGCTCAAAAAAGGCTGTTGAATAACAAATTAATTTAGCAAATACCTTATAACTTGCCATACATCAGCCTATTCATTTGGATTGCATATTAAATGCTATTGGGATCTGTTTTAACCTATCCAAAAGCAGGATCAAAATGCTTTGTCAGAGTGCTAACTGACTGCGTCAATGGCAGCTTGATAAATGATTGTTAAACTTAACCATAACTTTTGATATATCACACTTTATCTAGGCTATTATTAAAGAGTCATCAACTAGATTGTTCTTTTCTTAGCGGGTAACGACTCATAAACTTTGATGACAAGATTGTTCATCACGTAAAAGTGATAGACCTCCACAATACAGGTAAATAACGTTAGAATATGAAGTTCACTATTTCACTGTTAGTCTAGTGTACCAAATAAACCTCAGTTCCCAGAAATATCGAAGTTTTTAAAATATCCCTCTGAATAATTAATACCTGAAATTTCATTCTTTTCTATCATAGCTAACTTTGAATACAATAATTCATAAATTTGGCTGAATTTACTTTAGAAAATATGTATTATGTGGATAGACATTTGATCGATAGCTCTGGAAAATTGAAAGCACTCTTTATAGATCTCATTATGCATAAACCTACAGGGAGATATTACGGAATAATTATATGCTTCCCATTACACATGATGTCAATAAAGCTCAACAATCACCACAACTCTATGCTGATATTCATTGTTATTATTTTCATTATTATTGTCAGTATTATTTCTCGTCTTCCAAATTAATGACGGTTGTAAGTGACACTCAACACACCACTGTTTCTTGCATAGTGCTCACCATTCTAGACACACAGTCAGTTGAATATTTGATCTGTTTTGTAATTACATTACTACTTCTTTCAATCCATGTTATCTGTATTTATTCTGATGATCAATGTCACAACCTCTATTGACTTGTGAATACATCCGTTTTGACAGGAAACATTGACCATAACTTTGTTAACAAGTTCATTTTGATAAAATTCCTAAACAAATACATTGTTTTTTCTAAAAGGTTTACTCTACTTCGAAGTAGCAATATTTTTGGAAACATAACTCGAATTTATAACTGTGGAGTTTCAATGAGAATTT